CTGGATTCTTACCTTACTTACCCTGGTTTCATAGTCGCACAATTCAGTTGCCTCTTTTGGAACTGTATGTACACTTGCACAGGCCTGATTGAGGCCATGGATACACATATAGGCTATCCCAGAAGAACATAAGCAGTCCCAAAGAAGAAAAAAGGTGTGGCTGTATAGATCAACTCCTTGAACCAAGGCAAATCTCCCTTAACCGGGGAAATTTAACTCTGGGTAAAATCTGGTGTGTAATCTCAGCCTTGCTCAGCTGCTTGTTTGTGCCCACTTTATGTGAATCTGTTACTTTCAAGCTTTTGCTTTGAGGTTGGCTTCCTGTATTAGGGCAGCTCTCTTTTTGTAGTCACGGCCTGAGACAAGGGTCACTGTTAAATCAGGAAGATGCATGGGAATCTGCTTTCTGGAAAGTGTGCATGAACTCAAAGACCAAGGCTACTAGCTGACTTCTGCTGTGAAGTTGTTGGTTTTGGTTGAACCTAATTATGTCCAGAATAAATCCCAATCTCCAGGAAGCCTGTTCAGAAAAGCAGAGGAATCAGCACTTGATGCACACTTTCTTTATCTAATATCAGCAGGTGTGGGGCAGCATGATCTAGCGTAGTGATTCTTAACCAGGGTGCCAGGGCACCCTGGGGTACCTCCAGATCCTTTGAAGGGTGTGGCAAGGTTTGAGGAGCTAAGTGAAGTTTGAGGAAATAACATATAAGATAAGTAGATAAACTAGGCTTGGGTTTGTCCCTGCCTGGACCATCCCCCACCCTCACTGCTCAGCTTCTTTGCAGGTAGGTGAGCACTGTTATAAATTAGATTTTGAAATTGGGTGCCATTCAATTCACAAAAGTTATGGAGGGGTGACTCAAGTTCAAGAAGGTTAAAAACCACTGAACTAGTGAACCAAACACCATGCTGCCACTCAGGAGGTTGGGGTTCCCCTGTCTTGCCTCTGCTGCTGGCCAGCTGGGAGTTCTCAGGCAGTTGATTCTGTAAAATAGGGATGCTTCCTTCCTTTTATTACGTGCTCTGGGATCTACTGGTGAAAAGAACCATAGAGGAGCGAGGTGCTGGTATTATAATTATTTATTATCAAAGGTGAGCAAAAGGACTGCTTGCTACCAACGACACGTAGTTTTAGAAGGCAGCAGGCAATGAAGCTGTAATGCTACCTGAAGGGAAGCCTCACTAAAAGCTGCAAAATCTGGACAAAGCTCCATTCCACGGCCATCGATATTTTGGGTCCCTGTGAGGTATTGTTCCAGTGACATAAATTAGTGCATGTTGCAATGAATTATACCAGTTGCTATTAAAAGTCAGCATTTCCCCACATTTGCTCTACAGTGATATTTGATTTCTTGTCGTTAGTTCCACTTCTAAGTACAGAGAAACACTGCAGTCTGTCAAATACTGCTGTGTGGTAATTGGTTGTACATGCTGACTTTTTCAACTCGGTATAAGACATGCTGTGATGTGGTTTTTTGTTTGTTTGTTTGTTTTTAAATCGGTATATTTTTGCTTAAAATAGCTGTAGCCCTTCCACCCTTAAGCCAATTTTTCTACCCTACCTCTTTGGAAATCTGTGTTGGGGTTCAGAGTGTAGTTGCATCCATGACTCTTTCTGGTCTCTCAGGGTACAGTGACACAAGTTACAGGCCCTGTATTTTTTGCGTCCCACTGGATAGAATGCTACCATGCCCAGTTGCTCCAAGTAATTATATCAGGAGTGAAACAGGGACCCTACATCACTACCATAACAGGTACAACATAAATTCGGAACATAAAATGGGTAGCTTCCATGACCTTTGTGACAGCTACTTCAGGAATGAGTTGTTGGTACAAAATCTGTACCATTTCACAGGTCACCTTTTTTTCAGATTGGAGGGTGAGCAGCGTCCCAGCCAGTTGTGAGATCTACTCGGCTGAATATCTTTAATGCTCTGTAATTATACCTCGAGGCACAGGTATTCTTTGGCAAGGGGTCTTTGCATTCTTGCAAAAGTGCTGAAATACCCTTTCTCTGCATCATAGTTTCCCTTCTTTAAGAATATTTTTGCCATCAGGCATTAGACTATCGTTTGGAGCCTGTCAGGGCCAGTGTGCTGTCAGCTAGACGGGCTGCTGTTGTGTGACAGGAGATGCTTCTTCCCCACAGGTGCTGAGTGTGTCTCTTGTAGTTGAGGAGGTAAAGGATATTCTATTTTTAAATCTTGTGTTTGGAATTCATTGCCATAAAGAGGCAGAACTTTGGGTAGTAATTTAACCAAACCTTACCCTCTAGAGATGGAGCCTCTCTAGACTGAATTTATTTATAATACAATTAACAAAAGGAGACCAGTCCTTCATTTCGGGTGAATTTTTCTACACAAAAGTAGAGGTTGTTTGTGGAGAGAGATTTTTTTTTTTCTTCTTTTACCTTTTGACATTGCAATAAAAGTTCTGATAGAGTTAACAAAATAGAAGTCTTTTCAAAATAAAATTAAGCCAGCCTCTCTTGAATACAACTCTGAGGAGTCTGCACTTGTACTGGTGCCCTCGGTTCTGGGCACCCATCCCCAGAAAGATGTAAATGTAACTAGAGGATATTCAGAGAACAACAAAAATTATTAGGCCATTGCAAGGTCTGATTTATAACGGAAGATTTAAAAAGCTCAATGTGTACATTGCATCTGAATGACAGATGAAGGGAGAGAGTATGTGCTGATGATTTATACCTCTCTGACAGTTTTGAATGCCATGATGGGAGAAAAATTACTTAGGGTGTTCCAAGGAAGTAAAATTTGATGCATCTTGAGATTAGATTAGTAGTCTGGAAATGTAAAATGAATGTCAGATTAAAATATTCTAACAGTTTTGTTGATTTTTAGTAACATCATTTTACTTTGTATTGAACCCCCTCTGTGAATCAGAACCTCACTTTGTTAGTTAGGCTCTGTTTAAAAACACAGACCCACAGGATAGAAAGCCTGTCCCTCTGCATAGCAATGTAAAACAAAATTGGATAATGTCTGATAGGGGATAAGCACTAAATGGAGTACAAAAATAGGTCAGTCTCTCAAATCTTTTAAGTTTTGGAATTCAGGAAATGAAAGGCTACCGTAGGTATCACTGCTGTTTGTTTCAGCCCTGGCTTGAATGTTGAACCCATTTGGGATTCGCATTAGTATAGTTCTTATTGTGAAGAATTTTGCTTTATTGATTACTAATGTCAGTAAATATTGTTTTTAAATTGTAATAGTTGTACCACTCGTCTGCCAAAAGCAGGAGAAACTATCATTGGACATAAGTTTTTCATTGGCTTTGGAGGGAAAGGAGCCAATCAGTGTGTCCAAGCTGCTCGACTCGGGGCCAAGACCTCAATGATATGCAAAGTAAGTACTGGCTTGAAACTCCTGGATAACAACCAATCCAAATGTTCATCCAAGCTTCAGTAGAATTTTAGGTGGCTTATAGAAAAGTTAACTCCTTTATTCATGTCCCCCTTCTCTTCTTGGTTGCAACCAAAGAAAGAACTGGAGAGGACCTGAAATTTTCACAATTATACCTAGTGAAAACTTGCTCCATTCCTCCTTTTTACATTACCCTTTATTAAAAGATTTGGGGTTGATTGGTATATGTTAGTTCTACATTTAACTGCCAAGCCATATTTAACAACATATATTTAGGCTAGACTTTGCTGTTCATGGGTCAACTATTAATAGGCTAACAAAAATTTTAGAAAGGGATATAAAACTTCATGCTTCAGGAATGCAGCTCCTACCAATGTCTAACTATTAGGGATTAGATGAGACATTCATGGGATAGATTATCCCACATCTGCATACCATGGGATATCTTGTACCTTCTTCTGAAGCACCTGAGGCTAACCACTATCAAAGACAGCCTTATGGACTGGATGGGCCACATGTCTGCAATGACTATATCCTGGTATTACCGTGTCTTGATTTTGAAAAGGAAAAATAACTTGTCAGTATCAATAAATTTTTTTTATATAAAAGGAGAGAGAAGATAATTCAGTGTTTAAGATGAAATTCTCTCCTGTTTTGGCCTTTATGGGCATGTCCAGATGAGTGTACGCGTGCCTGTTGCCCCACCTCAAACCCCTTTGAGGCGGGGCAACAGGCATGTGTGGGAATGAAAAAATGTTCCCTGCACTGCAAACTTGCAACACGGGGAGAAAATTAGACCCCTGGATATCCAGGGGTCTAAAAAAACCGCTCTGCAATAGAGTGGAGCAAGGCATGGTTCAAGACCGTGCCTGGAGCCAGTCTTCCAAAAGAGACTCTCTGGTTTTGGCCAGAGTGTCTCTTCAGTGTTCTTGGTGCCCCCAGCGCTGTCCAAGGTAAATTGGGGGGGGAGTGTGGCAGGGAGATGTGGAGATGTGGGAGGGGGTTGGAGAGTGGCGGGGGGGGATGTCCCTGGGGCTGTGGGGGGGTGAGGACCTGGCCCAGATCCCTGAGGCTCGCTAGTCCAGCTTTGCGCCAGAGCGGGTTGCATGGCTCCGGGAGACACGCACAGGAGCCACACCTCCCGGAGCCCTGTGACCTGCTCCAGTGTAAGGCTGGACTAGTGAGCCACATGGGACTGGGCCAGGTCCTCAACCCACCGCAGGCACAGGGGGCAGAGGCGGGAACCAGCCCTGGGGCCCAGCCCATGCTGACAGGAGTCGGTGCAGCATGTGGTTCCCGCGTGCCGCGCCAGGTCCTGCCATGGCTGGGCCCTTCCTATAGCTGCAGGACTTGGCCTGGCGCGCGGGGAGCGCATGGAGCCGAGCCAAGTCCTGCTGGCCCTGGGGCTGCTCGTGCTGGGCCGGGGAACACGAGCCGCCTGGGGCTAGTAGAACACAGTTCAGCTCCGCATGGTCCCCGCACGCCAGGCTGCGCCAGGGAGCATGAGCTGCCTAGGGACCGCACAGTTCGTGCTCCCCAGCCCAGCCTGGCGCACGGGTACTGTGCGGAGCCAAGCTGCGTCCTGCCGGCCCCAGGCGGCTTGTGTTCCCCAGCCCAGTCTGATGCGTGGAGACCACACAGAGCTGAGCTGGCTCCTGCCGGTTTTGGGGCTGCTCATGCTGCCCAGCTGCCAGGCAGCATGAGCAGCCCCAGGGCCAGCAGGACCCAGCTCGGCTCCGCGCGGTCCCCGCACACCAGGTCAGGTCCTGCAGCTATAGGAAGGGCCTGGCTGCAGCCGATTAGTTATGGGCCCTGGGCAGGGGCGCTGGGGCCCTGTGGGGGATAGGGGCTGTGGCCCTCCAGGGGGGAGCTGGGACCCTGGGTGGGCAGGGGCATTCCATGTGCTGGGGGGCCTGCACCCTGTGGGGACATGGGGACCCACTCCTCCTGAGCAGCCCCCACACAAGGTCACCCCACACCCACAGTGCCCCCAGCAATTGCCCCACTCCTACCTACAGACCAACCCACATCCCTCCACATCCACCCACCTGCCTTCCCCCACACCCCTTAACACCCCCTTTCTACAAACACCACATCCCCCCCATCACACACCCATCATGTATGAAGAAAACCAAAAACACACATCAACACACATAGGTATTTAGAATTTATTTTTTCATGATGATAGATACACTGATAGGCTTCCAAATTGCTTTAACATTGTAAATATACCAATAAAGCATCACCCAACTTATCACTGTCTCTCTCTCTCTTTCTCTAGATATGTGTGTGTATATGTGTATACAGTGGGTTTTTGTTTTAAAGGTGAAAGAACATGGATTTTGGAGTATTTTAAAAAACAGATTTGGGATGCTGCTGCAGCAGTCCAGCTGGGGCAAGGGGTAGTGTCCCCAGGTATCAATTGGCTGGGCCCCAGAAACTCCAGAGGGCGAGTAGCCCCGAGCTACTTGCCAGGACAGCACTTGTATGGATGAGGCCAGGACAGGGCACCTTTTTATACTGCTGGGACAGCACAGGTGCTGGCCCTGGGCTCTAGCTCCCCCTGGCTGCAGATACAAGAGGAGCCAGCCAGGGTTATTTTGCCCCAAGTGGCACAATTTGCTCCATACCAAAGTGCATGTCCAAGCACGTGTGCTGAGGCAAAAAGCCCTGGCTCAAATTTGCATTGCTTCTCTTTTAGCTGCTGCAAACACATGTGCTTGTATGTGTGGATGCGCCCTATAATGCACCCTATAATGACAGATTCCACAAGTGACCAGATACACTGAGAATTTTTTTCCCTATTGAAGTACTAGATATTGGCCATGACTGGGGACAGGATGCTAAATTTGAAGGAACAATGCTTCTGCTAAAAAGCCTTTTCTGTTAGCTTGTCAGACTATTGTATAGGTTAATGAGATGTAGATGTACAGGCATACCTCAGAGATATTGCAGGTTCGGTTCCAGACCACCGCAATAAAGCGAATATCGCAGTAAAGCGAGTCACACGAATTTTTTGGTCTCCCAGTGCATATAAAAGTTATGTTTACACTATACTGTAGTCTATTAAGTGTGCAATAGCATTATGTCTAAAAAAACAATGTACATACCTTAATTAAAAAATACTTTATTGCTAAAAAATGCTAACCATCATCTGAGCCTTCAGCGAGTCGTAATCTTTTTGCTGGTGGAGGGTCTTGCCTCAATTTGTAAAAAACAGAATATCTGCGAAGCGCAATAAAGTGAAGCGCAATAAAACGAGGTATGCCTGTATATCCAAACTCTGCCTGCAGTTTTTCTGAGGTTCATCTGCCACTAGTCATTCTCCAATGTTAGGGCTGTCAGTGTCCAAGATCTTGTAAGTCATGGAGACTGGTCCTTATTCTCCTCCAGAGCTCTCAGATTCATGAAACTGGCAAAGAATTTGGTGTTAATATTTTGTCTGAATGTCAGGGGGTTTCTCCCTTTAGCATTGTTCCTTTTTAAATAGTCCAAACTCTGCTTACTGCCAAAGATAGAATCTATGTTTCCTGAAATATCTGCATCCTTAATGAAGTTCCCTGGGTTGATGCTATGGTTAGTGACTTCACAGAAAAAATATTTAGATTGTGTGGCAGGGCTTTTGGTGTGCCTGCCACTTTAAAGGGTTAGGCAAGCTGCAGAGCCTCTCACAAGTGAGGCTAGACCTGTTCAAGAGAACCACATGACTGCAGAGGAAGAAACATCACCCAGCAGGAAGGATGCCACTCCTGTATACCATCTGAGACACCATGGAGGTTTGGGTAGGAGCTATGAGGATGGTGAAGGTTTCTGGAGACCCAGTGTGGGGTCCACAGCCTTGGAAGGGGAGGCGAAGTGCCTGGGCCTGTTGAGAGGCCAGAGGAGGCCTGAGAAAGGTGCTGAGTGCACAAGAGCTAGGCCAGCCCAGAGAAAGAAGTATATACAGAGGCCTAGAGAGAGGCCATGCCAGCCCTGGGAGAGGGGCTAAGAGTTGTCAGGTCTGGGAGTGTCCAGGTGGGTCAAAGAATGAGGACCTGAGCAGCTGAGATCCATTTCAAGGCCTGGATGAACTCAGAGAGTGGTGCAAACCATGAAGAGGCCCAGTGGCGGGCCCTGAGAAACTCAGAGAAGAAAATAGCATGATCTAGGCAGGGTTTCGACCCTGCAGAGAAAGAGAGAACGATTCATGTAGGGGCCTAAGAAGGTGGCCCATAGAGGTGACGGGACTGATGGCCTAAATAACTGAACCCAAGGACCTCGACTGGCCTATTCTGGGGCCAGGGCCTTGGAGAGGCCGAAGTGTGAAAACCCACAGTGACGGACAGCCAGAGCTGGACTGCCTGGAGTCCCAACTGGCCTGGAGGCGGGATGAGGGCCTAGAAGAGGTCAAAGGTCACTGCTGTGGGAGGCCACAGCTGAGAGAAAGGGGCCAGGGGACATACAGCCCAGATGACAAGGGCTGGGGCCAAGACATCTGAAGAGGAGGCATCTAGTCTAGGGGTCTGAGTGCGAGCTGGGGGCCAGAGATAGAGAGACCAAAAGTAAAGATGGAGCTAGGGCCAGAGAGCATGGTAGTTACCAGCATAGGGGAGGCACATGACATCTAGGGGAGCCGAGTGAGAAAGAGGTGAAGATTAGGTAGTCCTGAGGATGGTCCTGGGTAAGACCTAAAACTACACCCTGATGGAGTTGGTTGGTGTGGTGGGGCAGTCTCCACAAAAATGCCACGTGTGGGCCACCCAAGAAGGTGGGGATGGGGCACCAAAAAGCTTCAGCCCCCACTGCCTTGTTGATGACTGTGGAGAGGGAAGGCTAGGGGAGCACACCCCAACAGAAAAGCACTGGGCAAGGAAGACCAAGTGGACCATAGTGGGTCCAGAGACCTGAGCAGAGTGCAAGGCCTGAGTCAGAGTACAGCCCAGTGAGGGGGCAAGGACAGCCTGGGGAGGGCAGAGTGCAGCCCAGTGAGGGGGCGGAGAGTA